AGAGAGAGAGAGAGAGAGGGAGATGAAGGGACCGGTAAACTGACTTTAGCCACTCACCGTGATGGAAAACCTAAAACTAGTCCGTCTTGTTCACAGAAAAAGTGTCTAGACATGAAGGAGACAGACGCTCTCACAGTCACATTTGTTGAAGGCTCTGGTTTGGCATGCTGATAGGGCACAGCCAGCAAAATTGGAAATATGCATCACTCAGTAAAAGAAGCTTGGAAACCAGCCTGTGTTTTCTTTTCCTCTCTTCTTTCAATTGCTTCTTTTTTTCCTGGACAAAAATACATATTTTGAATATTTTCTACTAGGTTTGGTCATGTCCCATTTTCCACACACACACATACAAATGTTATTCAATATAGACAGTCATACAGAAGCTGTTGAACTCCTGAAGACTACAGTGTTGTTCAATTATCTCTTTGAAAACAGCGTCCCCTGATGGACACAGTGACTTGAAGACAGCGGTGGGGCCATACTCAAGTTATAGAAGTAAGTTTGGGGGAAGCCTGATCATTCTGTCCTGTCAGTCAACACATCAGTGTAAAAGAAAGCGTATAATTATCTGACAATTCTTCCACTCACACTCTTTGACGCCATCTCCTCCTTTACTATATATATATTTTTTATCAATTTTTACCTCTTTTATCCCTATTTTTTATCCAGTTCAGTAGTCCCAATGGAGGTATTAAAATCATGGCAAGTCTCTACAACTACAGAAAGCCAAATTCGTTTACAAAACTCAATGTCGATGAGCAGGGGAAGTTGTCAAGTGGATTTAGAGAATTTACAAAAATAAAATAATCTTATGTCATGTCATATCGTAAGTGTGAAATATATCAGCAGTGAGAGAAAAAAATCATAAATATTTAATTACAGTTTTAAGCACATGCAGTTAAAAGTCTAATTAAAGAGCATAATTAAAGCACAATGGAGGATCCTCTTAAAAAATATATATAAATACACCTGATGCTATTATTAGAGTAAATAAAATACAGCCCTCAAGTAACTACATTTTAGTATGCCCTCATAAAAGTACTTAAAAGACATAAGGGCATAAAAATTGCAAATAACAGGGATGGTTTTGTTTATGTGAGCATTTTAGCTCAGCTGTGTAAACTCACAGAGATGACAGTGAAGAGAGTGTTGACTGCACCCACTCCAATGGTGGCAAAGACTGGCCCAGTGATACCTGCATTTCTGAAGATCTCCGTAGAGTAATAAATTACCTGGAAAATTCACAGAAAACACAGCTGTTCAACATTTAGGGCAATTCATGGCAATATTCTAAGCTGAAGAGGGGGGAATCATGCAAGGAAGCCTTAGAAATTGATAGAAGACTTTAAGTTTTTGGGCAATATGGGATATTTTTTTATAATTTTTTTTGCTAACCAACTATTTAAGTCAAAGTAATCTAATTTTAAAGTTTAAAATGCCACATGATTACAAGTGCTTAGTGCTCAGTAGAATTCTCACACATCAGTTATCTTAAAAATACAACTAAACTCTACGTCTAACTAAACACACAGTAATTTAACATCTGCAATCATATGTAATAAACACTTCTTAGCTCATAATGACTTTATAACTGCCAATCATAAAAAGGCTTTCAATAACATAACATTGTTTAGTACCTCGAAGTCAGTGGTTTTTCATCTTTTCAGACATTTTTAAACCCTAACACTTTTTCGAAGCTAACTCAACTGAATAATAATAAAAATGCCACAGTGATTTGACAACAGAAATTATTTGAACAGCTGCTATCTGTAACACTTGCAGTGTAACATTGTGATTTATTTGTCAAAACACTGATGTGCGATATATCAAGTAGTCTATCTCACTGATCTACTTGATAAATATGCCAAGCTATTTCTTTCTAATAATGCCCATTATTTAGCTGCATCTGTTCTCTGTTGTCCGCTGTATGTGTTCATTGTGTGGGTTATGTTTTTTTTTCTATAGGTTTGCTCAGCTTTTCTCCTGGCCAGCCAATTCAGTCATCTGAACCTTCTCTGATGACGGGGATACTGGCATTGTGATGGCATCCTCTGGGGACGTGTAGTTGGCAGCATTGGAACTTGCAGCATTGGAAAACCCACTGGCGATGTCCTCAAACGTCCGGCCTTTGGTCTCGGGAACCCGGAAGTAGGTAAACACGAAGAAGATGATAAGGAGAATGAGGAATATGATAAAGACGTACGCATCACACAGTTTCTGAAAAGGAAATAAGATCACAATAATATGTTTAGTTCTTGTGTCCTTGAAAAATGTGATACTAATGAATTCATTGACAAGGCTCTCACCAATAGTTTTGGGAAAAGCAGTCCGACAAGAAAGCTGGCAGTCCAGTTGCAGCATCCCGCCACAGCGATGGCTGCCGGACGTGGACCTTGAGCGAATAACTCTGCCACTATGAACCATGGGATTGGTCCTGGTCCCATCTCAAAACTGGCCACAAATCCAAACACTGCCAGAATGGCCAGAATGCTGATTGCTGAAGTTCCCTGTTAGCCGTATATGCAAATTGAACCATTTGGAGAGAGAAATAGAGAAATGGTATATTTCAGTGAATGACATCCAACACAGATGTAAATTGGCATTCATTAGTAAGATCATACACTGACCCCTGCAGATGCAGATTCGGAGATGGCAGTCATATTAGCACTACTTTCTGCCGTTGCTCCTGTAGGGTTCTTAAGATCAGAAAAGACAAAAAAAAAGAATTAAAAATTTTAGTGGTTTATCATTTAGAGCTATTTAATGATATAAGTCCCAAGCTCACCACAAGTTTAAGAGAAATGGTCATAAGCAGAGTACAGACAGCCATTCCAGCCAGACCGATCATATGAAGTGTTCTTCTTCCTGCCCTCTCCACCAGGAAGAGCTGTTGAGCAAAGCAGTGGGAGAATCAAAATACAGCCCTCAAGTAACTACATTTTAGTATGCCCTCATAAAAGTACTTAAAAGACATAAGGGCATAAAAATTGCAAATAACAGGGATGGTTTTGTTTATGTGAGCATTTTAGCTCAGCTGTGTAAACTCACAGAGATGACAGTGAAGAGAGTGTTGACTGCACCCACTCCAATGGTGGCAAAGACTGGCCCAGTGATACCTGCATTTCTGAAGATCTCCGTAGAGTAATAAATTACCTGGAAAATTCACAGAAAACACAGCTGTTCAACATTTAGGGCAATTCATGAGAGAGAGAGAGAGAGAGAGAGAGAGGGGTGTGTGTGTGTGCGTAAGCGTGCCCGCGTGAGCGAGAGAGAGAGAGAGAGAGTGGTGTGTGTGTGCGTGCGCGCGCGCACGAGAGAGAGAGAGAGAGAGAGAGAGAGAGAGGGTCACATCAGTTACACCAAATACACAAAAAATTATCTTTAAAAAAGCATCATATGACCCCTTTAAGAAACTGCAAAAATATTTTTATTAATAAGTGTGTCTTGTTTTTCAGTTAAAATATCTAAGCATTATATTTTTTTAAAGATACATTTACTGGGGAAAATTGTGTAATATATTATAACTTGTTAGAGAGAATATTATTATAATATTATATATTATATATATTACAGACATATGTTATAATATGTTTAATTTCTACACAAAAAAATTATCTTTAAAAAAGCATCATATGACCCCTTTAAGAAACTGCAAAAATATTTTTATTAATAAGTGTGTCTTGTTTTTCAGTTAAAATATCTAAGCATTATAAGCATTATATTTTTTTAAAGATACATTTACTGGGGAAAATTGTGTAATATATTATAACTTGTTAGAGAGAATATTATTATAATATTATATATTATATATATTACAAACATATGTTATAATATGTTTAATTTAATCACCTCAACTGTTTTTATGCATAAAAAACTGCCAATGAGGAAAAAATTTATCTAATATATAATAGTACATAGTATATATACAGACCACAGCAATCCATTTAGTTATAGCACGTTATTTCTTTCCAATGTGGACTTAATACGTTTGTGCTGACTAATCTTAGTTCAGGTGGTCTTTCAGTCTAGAACTGCTTCGATGGTATTTAAATTCCTTATTGCAGATAGTAGAAATGACTTTGGATTTTGAATTTCTTTCTTTGTCATTGTTTTGCATCGTGCTTGTCACTGCAGCTTGCAATGATGAGATGACGTACAGGTCAAAGGTGGAGTGGGACATGAGCGTTAAATGCGTAAACATTTTAATGCATAATTTTTTCCATCACTAATTGATTCAATTGACATTGCAAAATTGACAGCCCTAATATATATAGAACTGCACTGAAATGTTTTATTTCTGTACCTCAAAACTCAAAGCTTTTGCAAAGCAAAACATATAGAGAGTAAAGATATCTTGTTTGATGGATATGTATTCATTTAATGGATATGTATGGATATGTATTTTTACCTGGAAAATAAGGCACTGTTGGCTATAAAAATGTTTCAAACATTTATATGTAACTGGTGTGGGAACTTTTGTATGAAGTGTGTTGTATGAGTTTGAGACTTACAGCGTTGATGCCGGACAGTTGTTGAGACAGCTGCAGGATTATGGCAATAATAATGGGCTGTCTGTAAGCGGTGTTACGGAACAGCTCAGGAATAGAAACCTTCTTCTCCATGGACATCTTCATGGCCTCTTCCTTCATCTCACGAATGTCATCCTCCACATCTGAATGCCCACGAAGACGTATCAGCACTGAGAGCAAAACAAAGAGAGAAAGACATACATAGCACAGAAGAGTAAATGCACTTTAGTTGCTCATGCAATTCTGTGCCTAAGGGGGCCAGGAACTGAGTTAAAATCGCCAGGGGCCCATAGAATCGTTTTTTTAGTCCATAGCAGTCATAGCAGACTCACCTTGGCGTGCCTCATCCTCCTGGTTCAGAGAGATCAGCAGGTATCGAGGGCTCTCCGGGCAGAAGATCAGCATGACGCTCTGTAACACTGCAGGCACTGCCGTCAGAGCCAACAACAATGGCCACAAAGACTGAGACCCCAGCAATGACTCCAGACCTAAGATCTACCATGAAATCCACAAAAATTACCCTTTTATAACTTTTATTTTTTTTAGTATATATAATCGATATATTGCAAAGCAGTAAGACTTCCACAAAAGGATCAATTCTGAAAACTCTTTTCCATTAAGTACAATGAATAGGGACTAAAGCCTTCAAGGTTCAAAAAGGACCCATAACCACCATAAAAGTGTCATAGAAATGGTCCAAATATCTTCTGAAGACATACAATAAATTTTGCTAGGAAATTTTTGTTATTTATCTGTTATTTTCTGTTACAGCTTGAGAACCATACAGTCCAATTCAATAACAAATCATTCAGACCAGTTTTATGATGTGAATGAACTGATTCATTAATAACACCTGACTCAAAAGAATAATTTCTTCACAAATCGGACATCACTACAGGTTCAAAAAGGACCCATAACCACCATAAAAGTGTCATAGAAATGGTCCAAATATCTTCTGAAGACATACAATAAATTTTGCTAGGAAATTTTTGTTATTTATCTGTTATTTTCTGTTACAGCTTGAGAACCATACAGTCCAATTCAATAACAAATCATTCAGACCAGTTTTATGATGTGAATGAACTGATTCATCAATAACACCACACTCTTTTGAAAGTAATTAGTTACATTACAATATTACTGTCTCTGAATTGTAATGCGTTACACTACTTTTGAGTTACTTTTACCAAAATATCCACAGAAGTATTATAAAATGCCAAAATGTAGTTTATTGCTGCTCATTCTACACCCAGTGGAGGGTAATGTGGTAGGTCTATATAGCATACAATTATAAAATCATATTTAGATGCCAGTATGTAGGTCTACATTAATGTTACGTTGTAGTTTAGGTTAAACACAGATAAGCAGAAACCACATTATTGCATTCATAAATAACACCGGTAAATAAAGCGAACTGTTATAATGTACAGACAATAAACACAATAACTAGCCTATAGGCAAATTTGAACAGTTTCAGAAGAAAACAAGAATGAAAAATATAAGTTGCTAAACAAGCCAAAACGAATTAGGCTAACCAGTGGCGGCGCTAGGGCGGGGCATTAAAAAAATAAACATAAAAAAAAGCCTAATATGTGGCCTATAAACGATTGTTATTATGGGGGTGGGGTCAAGCAACTCAAGCAAGCAACGCGCAAACTGTGCGCAAGAGTTATGCCGGAAGGTCAGTAAATCTGTGCACGAAATAAAGCTGCTCTTAATTTTCATCGATGACTGCAGTGTTAATAATTTTAATTATAGGCCTATAATTCAATAGTATAAATTAATAGACCTGTTTAAAAAAAAAAGCATTCTCAATGAGGAGTAGCCTAAACTAATAGCCTACATTTTAATTATCCTCACAGCGCGCCATATGGCGAGGAACGGCATAGTCATATAGACTATGATTTAACAAAAACAGACGACAAACTATTTTACCCGCAGATTTTTTTCTCTGGTGCTGTTTTGCAGTGTTTGTAATATGTTGTTGTAACTTGCGTTACTGAGATTGTAACGAGTAATAATATTACCCAAATTTTATTAGTAATGCGTTATATTACTGCGTTACAGCAAAACGTAATATACTACTGTAATATTATTACTTTTGTAATGCATTACTCCCAACACTGCTACTGAATGTGCCGAGGAGTTGTCAAGATTTTTAGGGAATAACGACTCATATGTCGGTCTGTACATAATATTACTTCAGAAGACTGAATATAGCACACAAATCGTATAGACTAATTTGATTTTACTTTTATGATGCTTTTGAATTTTTTTCAAGCTTCAGTGTCTTTATAATTGCATCAAAATAAGATTTTTATATGGGTTTTGAATGAAAGACTGAGTAAATAATGGCAGAAAGTTCTTTTTTTTATGTGAGCTATCCCTTTAATCTCTTATCAACAATCATAGATAGGAAAATCTAACCTGTGCAATTAGGATGCCGATGACCACACCGAGCTGGTGAAGGGTACCAAAAGCCCCTCGCAGTGCTGTTGGAGCAATTTCACCCACATACATGGGCGTCAATCCTGTACACAGGCCACAGAATGCACCAATAACAAGACGACCCACTATTATCAACTCATAAGAGGTGCACATGTTGGATAAACCCATCAGGAGTCCACCAATCAGAGCCAGGATGTTGGACAGAAGCATGGATTTCCGTCTGTAATGAGAAGATGGATGATGAATATATTTATTTTATGTTAAAAGAAACTGTGTGATTTAAAATTTTCTCACCTCCCTAGTTTGTCAACTAGAGTGCCAACACTAAGAGCCCCGATCATGCCGCCAACATTGAAAATGGAAACTGTTACACTCCACAATGTCGTCAATGTGGATTCATCCATTAGCTCTCCAGTGCGCTCCACAGTCACGTTTCTGATGAAGTTCTTCACTTTCTGATCATCAACGAGAGACAGACAATGAGTGATGAAGGAATTAAGTGTTGTTTTTTGAAGTCCAAATTCTACTCACGTAATGAAACACTTACCACATCGGGTGCATTGATGACGCCTGTGTTGAAGCCAAACTGCAAGGAGCCGATGACAGCCGTGGACACGCAGAACATGAGGCACCATGTCACCTGTTTCCCCTGGACAAAAAGAAGCAATACACGTACTGTGACATGGAGAAAAATAAAAGAAGGATAGAAACTGAGGATCCCTCAAAAGGGGGTCATCAATTTGGGAGTCCGTGGCATCAGAAAGTTTGAAAGCTCCTGCATTAAAAGGCTAGCAGAACCAACCAGACAAAGAATAGCAGTTTTTCTCACTTTTGCCTTTATTTTTAGCACACAAATCCAGTGGCGGCTCGTGGGGGGAGGCACAGCTTCCCCAAAATTTTGAGGTGAAAATGTGAGGACGACGATTTAATGATAATAAAATTCACAATTAATGTCTCAGAATGTGTATTTTTTGTTTGTAATTTCACAGTTGTAATACCATAACATGTTAATGAAGTTGGAAAGCGCTGCTTTTCTATCGCGAATGTGCCGAATCTGCTGATGTATTTACAACCGCTAAACGGTGCAAAACGTTTTTTTAAACGGAAACGGTGGTGCGTTGAACACCCTGTTCTGATGAAGCAAGAGTTGCAACTATGGCAGCTGAGAAGGCCATTCTTTGTGTTCTTTTTGAAGAATTTTCGGAGCCTGATGAAATCGGTATAAATGCGTATTTAATACTGCAAAATACGCTCGATGTTACAGTCCCTGCCCTTGCCGTCCAGAATAAAAGAGAACATCCCAATCGAGTGAAGGGATTTCCGGAAACCGTAGCAAAACGGTGCACACCGGTTTGAGCTTGAACTTGCCCCTGAGCTCTCGTGCCTCCGTTGGTAAAAAAAAATTAGCCAATCAGCATCGAGTGTTCACTTTCAGTGCTGAGGAGTGTTGAGAAAAGATACCTCATAGCCTCCCTTCTGATACCCACCAATCATCACAGTGACGTAAATTACGTGATATTAGTTTGAACGTCTCCCGCTACGCTGATAATGTACCAAGTACTTATGATGAGTAGCGATATTGAATAGACTATTTGATCGCCAACAGATTTACCAAGCTGTCATTCAATACAAATATACAATATTTATATATACAAATTTAAAATAAAGGGAGAACATGCCTAAGCTGGATATAGGCTAACGTAGGGCTGGACGATATAGCTAAAAAATATATCAACGATATATGTTTCATATCGTTCGGTATCGAT